CATGTTCCGGCAACGGTCTATGCGGTATCCATCTCCTTACAAAGGGGGAAGAGTTGCTTTCCTTGATCCTATCTTTTGTCGAGTTTGGTGTGGAGACTATCGAAACAAATTTCTACCAAACGAGAAGAGTTGGCTATTCAGTGATGGTTATTTGGACGTTGCCAACGGTCACTACGACCATTACTTGCCTACACACAAGAAATGGGGGACAGATGTTGATTTCGTGTATATCGCCCACAACGTGAACAACGAACATTGGGTAGCCGTTGAGGTCGACATTCCCAAAAAAAGATCCGAGTGTTTGATTGCATTCCAGATTTATACAGAAAAGGCGAGGTGGAGGAGTCTGTGAAGCCCTACGCAAGGATGATTCCGCTGTTGTTGAAACATATGGCACCACCGGAGCTCAAGAAGGGTATGAAGGAGGGGCAGTTTCATATCTACATGTATAAAACAGCGGCACTAAACAGACAGACAGGTGCAATGCAGCTCTGTAGATTTGTTATTTTTATTTGGTAGACTTTTAACTAATTATCGGGTACTTGTTATCAGGTGATTGTGGCGTCTTTACTTTGAAGACCATCGAGTGTTTGGCTTTGTGCCATAAATGGGACCAGCTGAAAGATAGCAACATGCCTCTCATTCGTATGAAATACGCAGCTGAGATTTTTGATGAGGTACATGAAGCAGAAGAATCCCGGATGTCTGATCCTAACCCTCGAAGTTTATTTGATGACAAGTACGGTTTACAGACAGACTCTGCTAACTGAGATCTTCGTTTGGTAGACTTTTGGGATCTGAGATCGTTTTTTGGTAGATTTAATACTCAGATCCAAACTAATTGGTAGACTTTTGGTATCGGATGTTGTATTTTGGCCGATTTATTAGTCATAGCCAGCCTCTTTGGTGGTCTTTTGGAATTTAGACGTCGCTTGTGTTTTGGAATTTAAAGCGAATCGCCATGGCTGTAAAAGGAACCTGCTTTGTAGATTTATAACATGATTGGTAGATTTATTGCAATATTGGTAGATTTATAACGTGATTGGTAGATTTATTGCAATATTGGTAGATTTATAGCATGATTGGTAGATTTATTATTGTAAAATAGTAGAGTTTAGGTAAAACAAGTTCCAGATTTACAAGTACATAAAACAAGGTTTTCAAGCGGATTATTGCAGTCTATAATAGTACAAATACAAGGTTTTCGATTTGTCAACTAAGCTCGACAAGTTAGGCGATTATGTCCGCCTTGGCCACAGTTACCACATTTGGGGATCTTCCGAGGACGGTTACTCGCCATGGCGGCCTCGAACGCACCCTTAATCCGAATTTTCTTTGGCCTGCCGGGTCGGTTGCGAACATCAGGCGGGAGACAAATTTTGGTTGCTACTTCATCTGGCACAGGGAGTGCTACGTCTCTTGGCATCACACTAACAGCATACGCTTGTTGCAAGTAACTAGTGTGGTAGTAATGATGGCAAAGAGAGATCGGCGACAACTTCCTCCTATCGGCGGCGGCTATGGCATGTACGCAAGGAATTTTATCCAAATCAAACCGTCGACAAGTACATGTTTTCTCCGTTAAATTGACAGAAGTTATATAAGTCTACCACATAGAAGTAATAACTCTACCAAATAATTGAAAGTCTACTAAATAGCAGAGATAAGTGTACCAAGTCTACCAAATAATAGAAAGTCTACTTAATAGCAGATATAAGTCTACCACATAGAAGTAATAACTCTACCAAATAAGTGAAAGTCTACTAAATAGCAGAGATAAGTGTGCCAAGTCTACCAAATAATAGAAAGTCTACCTAATAGCAGATATAAGTCTACCAAATAATAGAAAGTCTACAAGGTAAAGTAGTGTCTACCTCCAGCAACTTTTCAACGCCCGTTGTTAGAGTGGTAGCCATGTTATTGGCATTCACACGTCTTTTAGCAAACCACCTGGTCAGGAGACTCCTTATATCATCCACTAGTCGTACGATAGGCTTACCTCTTGCAGCAGATAGCACCTTGTTTAATGACTCCGCTATGTTGCTAGTGGTGAAATTGTACCTATCACCTTGGAAGTGTACACGACTCCACATACAAATATCTGCCTTCACCAAGTATGCATGCAGTGCAGGATTTGCCTCTTGAATCTGAGCAAAAAGGGCATTGAACTCGAGAAGTCTATAAGCAGTGGCAGCCTTCTTAACAAGCTTGAACGTTTCAGCGCCTCTGAATTTCACCATAATGTTCTTATGGAGATGATATGTACAAATACCCCGACTAGCAAGAGGATAAACCTTCCCTATAGCATTTCCTATGGATTTATGCCTATCAGAAATAATGGCAAGTCCTTCATCAGGAATAACACGGTGTAGTTGTGTAAAAAACCATTCCCAAGACTCATCGTTCTCAGTATCAACAACAGCAAAGGCTACGGGAAAAATGTTGAAGTTTCCATCTTGCGTGGTGGCGAGTAGTAGGGTACCTTTGTATTTTCCATGTAAAAACGTACCGTCGACCACTACCACTTTCCTCATGAAGGGAAACCCCTGTATGCTTGCGCCAAATGAGAGGAACATAAATTTGAATCTATCTTCCTCATCAACTTCTAGCTTGATTAGTGTACCCGGATTTGCTCGCCGAATCATATATAAGTATGAAGGCAGATCTTCATAACCACTTTCAGACGTCCCTGATACTAGTTCTCGAGCATACTTTAGGGCCCGATGTGCTTTCCAATAGTCAACCTTATAATGAGAAATAATAGTCTACCAATTGAGCTAATAACTCTACCAAAAAATAAATAGTCTACCAATTGAGCTAATAACTCTACCAAAATAATAAAAGTCTACTCAAAGAGATAATAAGTCTACCAAATAAATAATATAACTCTACCACATACCTTTATACTATATCGTTTGGTCAGAGCTTCGGCGACGTGATTTGGTAAGACTTTTGGGCCAACACCGCCGACGAAGTCCTTATATAGACGGCCTAGAACCTCATGGGTTGCATGGCGGGTGCGTTGTGATCGCACAGTCACAGAACACGTGTGTTCTCGAGTATAAGTTTTAACCCAAAAACATTTGCTGCTCCCAACAGTTGAAGCGCGAACCCTCCATTTGCAACCATCTACCCAACACTTAACAGTTAGCAATTTCTTACTCGAATGATCGACATTGTAGTCGAATTTGTGAGCAATGGAAAGAATTTTGAGTCGCATCTCGAAGTCCTCTTTTGTTTCATAACGCTGACCAACGGCTAAGTCTAAAGATGAAAGCTCTAGACTTTGAAAGTCGGGAATTGTAGTCGGTCCCCTTTTCTTCGGTGGTAGATTTAGCGACTCCTCCTCATCTGAACTTTCACCATCTGGACGTTTCTCACGTCTTCCGTACTCTTCGTCATCGGAACTTGCACCATCAGGATCTTCACATCCATCAAATCTGGTTGACAAATCCTCTTCTTCATCATGCATTTCTTCGTCTTGTCCAACTTCGACACCTTCTTGCGGACGATCTTGGCGCACTTGTTCTTCAGGGACTAGACTAGGACATGCATCTCGATCTTCGTCTTCATCAACAACTCCCTTCTGAACTTTTTCTTTGATCTCAACACATAAACGAACCGTTTCGTTTTCGTTCTGGAATTGATGCAAAAAACTCTGCAGCTGTCTTGAATTACCAACAAACACAGGAGGTGTATCCAGAGGTAATTTCCGCCGGACTTCAGACGACAACATATAGCTGAACTGGAGCTCATAAAGATGTTGATCCAACCCAAAATCTTCATACGCGATTTCAACCAAATCGGCAAATGACATTTTACGGTCTATCCCTATAAAACTACATCTCCTCGACTGATCTACGATGAAGATCCACCTCGTTTTCTTTAAAACCCAGTTACCACAAACCAAAACAACTTGATCCATGAATATAAAAGTGGATAAGAGGCAGAAGATCGAAGTAGAAGGAAAAAATCAAGAGTTATCCCAAGTTTAACAGCTCGACGGCGAAACCTAGAGGTTGAAGATGGACTCTGGTTTTGTTCCGTACTTTAGACAATACATACAGGGCAAAAAAGTAAAATCGCACTGCTCGATAACTAAGATGTGTGGTAGATTTGTTGTAAAAGACTTGTCATGTTTCCAATTTCAGTCGAACGAATGGTAGACTTATATTATATTGTTGGTAGATTTGTTGTAAAAGACTTGTCATGTTTCCAATTCCAGTCGAACGAATGGTAGACTTATTATTATTTTTGGTAGATTTGTTGTAAAAGACTTGTCATGTCCCCAATTTCAGTCGAACGAATGGTAGACTTATTATTATTTTTGGTAGATTTGTTATAATTAATAGCTTTCGAAATGAATAACACATAAATCTACTTAACACAACATAAATAACACAACATAACTTCATAAGTCTACTTCATAATAACACATAAATCTACTTAACACAAAATAAATAACACCACATAAGTCTACTTCATAATAAAAACAAATCTACTTAACTAAACATAAGTCTTTTTGACGACTACTGATGCAATCAACGTGGCCAATCCATAGCAAACGACGGTACTACCCACCAGAAATTGGCACACTCCAATTTCCAGAAGCAGGATTCACAAAGTTGATCCCCATACGTCTCTAGCAGGTATTCATCTCCCATCCATTGCATGTCTGGTACTTTGAGACAACCACAAATCCTTGTATTGAAAGACTTTTTATAAGCCTCGAACACCATTTCCACCAGTTCCTCGGGCTTCTGGAAATTGAACGCAGGCATGAAGATCTTTTCCATTGCCAATCTCATTTGCTTTGCATCTTCCCGGGAGAGAGCTTTGACAGAGTTGAATACCTCTGATGTGCCATCCATGGTTAGATGTAACATTGTGTGGCAGTACTTACCCATGAGAAATCCGTTGTCTGATGCAATTCGAATGAGATCACACCCTGCTTGGAGGTTATATTCGAAGAAAATCAGCGATAAACCTCTTCGCAATTGTGCGGATGGATTTCCTGCCGCCAAGCACCGTCTGAAGAATGCACCGACCCTTCCATGAATATCCCACCTCCACGGCAAGCTAATGTTGATTAAATCAACATTCCTAAGAAAACCCGCTTCGTTAGAGATGTTGTTAAGTGTCCTGGACGAAACTTTTGCAAGACAAAGATCCGCATACGAGTTTGAAGATATTTTCAACAATATCTCGTACAAAAGATCAGAAAGAAGCGACTCGAGATTCGCCATAGGGATGGGAAATGAATCGTCTAGGTTGAAAATGGTTTAGAGAGATGGGAAATGAATCGTCTAGGTTGTCGTATTAATAGAGAACTCACACGAGAACTCGAAGCGACTCGAGTCAATAGAAGTTCTCGAAATCGATGCGACTGTTCGTTGGAAAATGCATAAGTCTACCAAATGCGACGGTTCGTTGGTAACGGTTTATGGTTACCGTTACCATAAGTCTACCATATGGACGAAAATTGCAAGACATACAACACTAAAACCATAAGTCTACCAAACAGTAGGTTTTTTTGTAGATAGAACAATTCTTTTGGACAAAAAAGTAATTTTACTCCATAAAGTCAAATGTCTGCCAAACATTAAATACTAAGTCTACCTCAAGCATGACAAATAACTCTACCATATAAACAAGTCTACCATAAGCATGTCATATGTCTACCAGATCAAGGTTAACTCTGTAAATACCAAACGTAATTAATCTACCACATTGTTATTTCAACAAGTCTACCATACGGCAGATAAGTCTACCAGATTACATAAACTCTACCAAACATACAAACAAATCTACCAACATCTTGTAAGTCTACTTCATGTCATTATTAATCTACCACAAATCAGAATGAAATTTTTTTAAAATATAGGTCTACCACAAAACAAATAAATCTACCACAAAACAAATAAATCTACCAACAATTTTTAAGTCTACCTCATGTAACATATAGTCTACCACTAACCGGAATGAATTTTAACTGAATTAAATCTACCACAAGTCAAACAAATCTACCACAAAAACGAAACTCTACCAATTATATATAACTCTACCATGAAACAGATAAGTCTACCGCACGTATTGACAACTTTTTTCACATAAATCTACCGCTAAAGGAAATAAGTCTACCAACTCAGAAAATAAATCTACTTCATTGTCAATAAATCTACCGAAAAAGTCAACTATGCGAGAAAGTCAACGTTTCTGTTAACAAGTCTACCAAAACTTTTGACAAGTCTACCATTCATAACAACAAGTCTACCATTCATAACAACAAATCTACCGAAACATAATAAATTTACCTCTCATCCAAGAAAAGTCTACCAAAATTTAAAAACTCTACCAACAAAAGTCTACCAACATTTAAAAACTCTACCAACTCTTGAATAAATCTACCATCGCCCTAATAACTCTACCAACAAAATTTCTGCGTTGACCAAAATTTCATAAGTCTACCACAAAGCTTGGTAGACTTATGAAATTTTTAGCGCCAGAATCTGCCTACGTGGCATTAAAAAAGTAATGGCATTTTCGTAATAAGGTTTTTTTCAACAAAGGCCAAAAGGGCGTTTTGGGTATGCTAGGTTAGTTTTGTAAAAAAAATAAAAGTGCGTCGAACCAGTAATATAGATACTTTCTAAGGTTAGTGTAGTAATCCTCCCATAAAACATTTCTCTACATTTTCAAAACAAGGTCTACTTCACTGCGAGACAAAATGATTCCATTTTAATAAATTAAACCCTCGAACTTTTGTGTACAATTAGCCAAGCTATTCAAAACAAAGATGAGATAATATCTGGATTCAGTTTTGAGAATACATAGAGAGGACAAGACAAAAGACGATCTACTAACCACGTTTATTATTCTTCAGACACACTCTCTTTTCGTTCTTCGAGAAATTCTTGCAAATCTTAAGAAGCTGAAACCTCTGCAAAATCCTATTACATGTCACAGATAACATCAAACATACGAAAAGAACACAAGTAAAGAGACAGAAGTGAGTAGGACATACCATAAGACAAATTTCTTGCCACAAGAAACACCACACCAGACACTAAAACAGCTTATCCACAAAGCTCCTGTCCAATCTACCATCAGATATCATATTTTCTACCATTTTCTTGGTGGATGCATCTGCACAGAACTCCTTGCTTCGCATATCCTTGATAAGTTGAGCTGATGCCTCAATATCCGTAGCTCTAAGACTTCCTCTGATTAGTGTATTGTACGTACAGCCATTTGGTACACATTCCTTGTCCTTCATTTTCTGGAATAGCGCATTTGCTTCAGAAATTGCACCTTTTCCACAAAATCCATGTATCATTATATTGTAAGTTTGAACATCAGGCTCCACACCATCGATGGGGAGACTACAAAATAAGTCCCATGCCTCGTCAACCTTACTACCCTTGCACATTCCATGGATGATGATGTTATAAGTAGTAGTATCAACATCAATCTTACTCTTCTGCATAACTTCAAACATTTCCAATGCCTTTCCCAGTTTCCCATTGTCGCAGAAACCGACCAGCAAAATGTTATAAGTTAAGATATTAAGACACACACCATGAGGATTCATATTGTGGAAAAGGTCTTGAGCGGCATTAAGATCGCCCACTTGGCATAACCCATGAATAAGAGTGTTGTAAGTAACTGAATTAGCAACTAATCCTCTCTGACGCATCTCGTGGAAAAGTTCCATCCCGTCATCAACTCTTCTTGCCTTACAATAGCCATTAATGAGTGTAGTACAAGTCACTGTGTCAGGAGAGCACCCCTTGCTAGCCATCGAATCAAACATCTGTTTCGCCTTATCTAAGCGGTTCTGCTTGCAGAATCCATCGATCATTGAAGAATAGCTGAAATTATCGGGGACTATACCTCTGCAGAGCATCTCCTCGTATAATTCTTCAGCCTCGAAGATATTACCTTCTTTGAAAAATGTGTTGATCAGTATATTGTAAGTTTGAACATCAGGTTCCACACCAGTGAAGGCGTGACTAGCATCAAGATCCATCTTACTCTTCTGTATACCCTTGAACATTTCCAGTGCCTTTTCTAGTTTCCCATTATTGCAGAGACCGTCTAGCATAGTGTTAAGAGTTACGATATCACAGCACACACCATGGAAAATCATCTCTTGGAAAAGGTCTTGAGCGCCATTAAGATCACACACTTGAAAGAACCCGTGAATAAGAGTATTAAATGTCACTGTGTTTGGAGAGCAGCCCTTGCTAGCCATTGAATTAAACATCTGTTTTGCCTCATTTAGGCGGTCCTGCTTGCAAAATCCATCGATCATTGAGTTATAGGTGACAGTATCAGGGACTATACCTCTGCGGAGCATCTCCTCGTATAATTCATCAGCCTCAGAGAACTTTACTTCTTTGACAAATGCATTGATCAATGAATTGAAAGTTACAACATCAGGGTCAATTTTCCTTTCAATCATTTCACGCAACAATCGTTCAGCATCAATCCATTTACCACAGTTGCAAAAAGCGTCTATCATACAGCTGTAGGTAACTACACTGGGATAAATTCCTTTCTCACGCATTTCATTGAAAAGAACTTGAGCATCAACAAGACGTCCATCTTTGCAAAGACGATCAATGATGGCATTGTAGATTACAACATTACCTTCGATGTGGCTTTTCTGCATCTTCCTAAGCAGATTCAAAGCTGAGAAAGTGTCGCCTATCTTACACAATCCGTTCAAAATTGTTCCGTAAGCCACAACGTCAGGTTGATGACCATGTTCTACCACCATCCGATCAGCCAGAGCTACTACTTCCAGCATTCGACCATCGCGGCAAAGACCATTTATCAGTGTGGTAAACGTTATGACATTGAGTGCGTATCCCGTTTCAAGCATTTGATCAAATAACGCTAAGGCTTCACAGATTCTATCTTCGAGACATAACCCGTGGAGCAGTGTGCTAAACGTAACGACATCAGGCTGGAAACCAAGCTTGGTGAGCTTCCCAAATGTAGACAAAGCAAGAGAAAGCTTAGAGCAGCTGCAGAAACATTTCATCAGGATACTGAAGCTGTAGATATTAAACGGAATCCGCCGCATTTCCATCTTCCGATAGAGAGAAATCACAATATTGGGTCGATTCATCTTCATGAGGACACCCATTACTTTGTTGAAATCAATTGCAGAAGGGAAGGGACGAGATCGAACCATGTCATCGAACAAAACAATCGCATCATCTAAGGTTTCGATAAAATGAGACCCACTTCTCAATTTCAAACTCTCTCCTCCAAAAGTTGCTTCGCCATCTCTGCAATGGACTGACAAATAAGGAAGACGCTTTCTAATTGTACCTTTCTTGGCGACGCGAGGTTGATGAATCGATCTAGTGCTCATCAATCTAGCAGCAGAAGATTCTGATCTCCATCTCCAAACCCTAGCCAACATTTTTGTTTCGCCTGATTTTTTTACTTTTCGATCTCTAAAACACTAAAGGAGTGGAGTGGAGTGGAAAAGTGTGAGCTTTCTACTTTCAGAGAGCAGCACAAATTGAATCAGAAGACGACCAGTTCTATTATTTTGGTTCGTACATTGACTGGTTCAATTTGATTATTGTGGATGATTAAAACAAATTTGTATTGAGAGAAACAAAAATTATAATGAGTTCCTATTATTTTAAATACTATAAATAATGATCATATAATATTGAAAACGCAACTACACAAATAACAACACAGTTGAAAATTAGAGAGATTGTGTTTTCGAAAAGGGTCATAACTGGGATCACAGAGATTGCGTTTACCACTCTAGTTTCGGTCGAATATATCTTGATGAAAGAAGAAAGTCGAACCAGAAGTACTCGGTTTGTATTGGATTTGGTTCTCTTTCTATTTATTATGTTCTTGTTCATTTCTGTGTTTGGTAATTAAGAGAATTGGTATGTTTTCTCTTCTTAAATTAAAATTCCTAAAAGAGGCAAGTCATAATCTGCCCTCCAAAACCAAGTTGTATCTTGTGTTCTCCTTATTCACCATGTATTGGAACATCTATTTGAATTCCTCTCTAGCTTTTACTTTTCTACTCTGTAAACGCCCTACACCATTATCTCGTTCCCGCAAATGTTTAGTTGTAAAATTACTAAAACCGGAGTGGAGTGGAAAAAGTGTGTGAGCTTTCTTTCTACTTTCAGAGAGCAGCACAAATTGAATCAGAAGACGACCGGTTCTATTATTTTGGTTCGTACATTGACCGGTTCAATTTGATCGGTATTATATTGACCGGTTCAGATGAAACTAATCGGACAAAGGTGAGGTCGGTGTGATCAGTTGGGATGATGATTGGTTACATGTATTATTTGGGATGTGTTGGTTACATTTGTATGATTTTGATTACTTGTGTATTGTGGATGATTATAAAAAATCTGTATTGAAAGAAACAAAAAATTATAATGAGTTCCTATTATTTTAAATACTCTAAATAATGATCATAAAATGAGAGAGAGAGAGATTTTTTTTTTTTGGTGTGCATAAGAGAGAGAGAGATAGAGACAAGATAAAGAGCTCTTTCAAAAAACAAAAAAAACGAATCCTCATTTTTTGAATATTACCGGAAACCGAAATGTTTTCTTTGACCATTCATGTTTCTCGACATTCTCTAGTATCCATAACATAAACCCATAGGAAGCACCAAAAGAGATTGTATGAATAATGGCTAACTTCCCTCTGTAGTTGATCAAGTTTGTACCAACCTCTCCCAGCTTTTGATGTATAATGGTGGATTTAGATCACAATTTAGATCACATCCACGATTTTGTCACAAGAAACACCACACCAACTACTAAAACAGCATATCCACAAAGCTCTTGTCCAATCTGCCAGCAAATATCATATCATCTACCATTTTCTTGGTGTATGCATCTGCCAGCAGATATCATATCAGCAGCAGCCCCCTCAAAAAGACAGTAACAATCTTCAATAGAGACATCAGAGCAAAGTGCATATCACGATGAACTAAACAAATGATTTAAGAAACCATATCCAACAAGATTTCTTAAAATTGGCCATCATATAACATATTCCATTATCGCAGTAATAATACATAAATAACATGGTAAATGTAAAAGCTAACAAGCACAGCAAATTTATGGAACATAAGAAACAAAATAGAAGCTCTGCTGCTAAGGATAGAAATGTGAATGATCTTGTATTCTTTCATTCATCCTCCAATTGGTGATCCTGCAAAGCAAACACACCAAAACAACCAGAAAGGTTAAATCTTTATCTTAAAATCAACATAGGCATTTAGTAGCAAACTTTCCTGGATTCTACCGAAGAAACTACAGCCAAGGACCTCTATAAGTATGTTTACATTCTTCAACGAAACCCAAAAGATAAGTAAAATAAACTGGACAACAAAACAGAGTCTGAGGACATACCACACTCTTTCGCAGATCCTCCAACATTGCCAATGCCTCTCGTAGATTCTTCTTACTACATAAACGGGCTAGCATGCCGTGGAAAGTGGTGGTATCAGGAGCCACACCACTAGCAATCATTTCTTGGAAAATGTCTACGGCGCCATTATAATCACCCACATGACAGAACCCGTGAATCAAAGTGTTGAAAGTAATTGCAGTAGCAGCTATTCCTCTTCGATACATCTCGCAGTAAAGCTCCAGTCCATCGTCAAACTTTTTAGCTTTACAGTAGCCATTAATGAGTGTATTATAAGTCACTACGTTTGGCGAACAGCCCTTGCTAGTCATCGAATCAAACATCTGCTTCGCCTCATCTAAGCGGTTTTGCTTGCAGAATCCATCATCATTGAAGAATAGGTGATTGTACTAGGGACTATACCTCTGTGGAGCATCTCCTCGTACAAATCTTCAGCCTCAGAGAACTTCTCTTCTTTGACAAATGCATTGATCAATGCACTGAAAGTTACAACATTAGGGTCAATTTTCCTTTCAATCATTTCACGCAACAATTGTTCGGCATCAATCCATTTACCACAGTTGCAAAAAGCGTCTATCATACAGCTGTAGGTAACTATATTGGGATAAATTCTTTTCTCGCGCATTTCACTGAAAAGATTTTGAGCATCAACAAGACGCCCATCTTTGCAAAGACGATCAATGATTGCATTGTAGATTGCAGCATCAGGTTTGATGGGGCTTTTCTCCATCTTCCTTAGCAGATTCAAAGCAGAGACAGTGTCGCCCTTCTTACACATTACGTTCACAATTGTTCCATAAGTAACTTCGGTAGGTTGATGACCATGTTCTATCACCATCCGATCAGCCAGAGCTACTGCTTGAAGAACTCGACCATCGCGGCAAAGACCATTCACCATTGTGTTGAACGTTATGACATTAGTTGCATATTCCGTTTCAACCATTTGATTAAGTAACGCTAAAGCTTCAGAGATCCTATCTTCGAGACATAACCCGTGGAGCAGCGTGTTAAACGTAACAACATTAGGCTGGAAACCAAGTTTGGTGAGCTTTCCAAATGTAGACAAAGCAAAGGAAAGCTTGGAGCAGCTGCAGAAACATTTGATCAGAATATTGAAGCTGTAGATGTCAAACGGAATCCGCCGCATTTCCATCTTATGATAGAGAGAAATCACAACGTCGGGCCGATTCATCTTCAGGAGGACACCCATTACTTTGTTGAAATCAATTACTGAATAGCGACGACGAGACTGAACCATGTCATCGAACAAAACAATCGCATCATCTAAGGTTCGATAAAATGAGACCCACTTCTCAATTTCAAACTCTTTCCTCCAAAAGTTGCTTCGCCATCTCTGCAATGGACTGACAAATAAGGAAGACGCTTTCTAATTGTACCTTTCTTGGCGACGCGAGTTTGATGAATCGATCTCGTGCTCATCAATCTAGCAGCAGAAGATTCCGATCTCTATCTCCAAACCCTAGCCAACAATTTTGTTCCGCCTGATTTTTTTTACTTTTAACAAAAAAAACACTAAAGGAGTGGAGTGAAGTGGAAAAGTGTGAGCTTTCTACTTTCAGAGAGCAGCACAAATTGAATCAGAAGACGACCGGTTCTATTATTTTGGTTGGTACATTAACCGGTTCAATTTGATCGGAATATTGACCGGTTCAGATGAAACTAATCGGACAAAGATGAAGGTCGATATGATCAATTGGGATGATTGGTTACATGTATTATTTGGGATATGTTGGTTATATTTGTTAATCAAAGTAGGATTTTTATTAGTTGTGTACTGTGGATGTAGATTAAGAAAAATTTGTATCCAAAAAATTATAATGAGTTTCTATTATTTTAAATACTATAAATAATGGTCATAAAATATTGAAAACGCAACTACTTAAATAACAACACAGAAAACAAAAAAAACTACAATTTTTTTTTAAAATGAACAACAAAGTCACTTAAGAATCCCAAAGCCAATGATTTAGAAGTTCAAGCCTTGGGGATCAAAAGACCATTACATCAAAGAGTAGAAGCGAGGATCAAACAAATGGTCGGTCAAAAAAAAAAAAAAAATGAAACAGAGTGGGCTTTATAACCTAGATTGGGATTTTCTTACAATGTAAATAGATTACATCAAAGAGTTTTAAAAATTTAAGCTTTTGCTTTCTCTCCTTTTTTTCTTCTTCTTCCCATCATCAAGAGAAAGAAAGAAAGAGACGAATTAGGTGAAAGATTGATTCTGTTCTACCACCACACCTTCTATACACAAAATCAATTTTTGTTGATCTCTTTCTAACACTCCAATTCATCCTCAGCGAGAGAGAGAGAGAGAGAGATAGAGACAAGATAAAGAGCTCTTCAAAAAACAAAAAACGAATCCTCATTTCTTGAATATTAGCCAGTGGTTCAGGGTTTCTGACTCATGGCTCAGCGACCCTAGACCTTGAGATCCTGACCCTTCAGGCTGTGTTGCAATTCCGAAATCCAGGAGGAGTCTCTGCAGCTATTTGTTTGACGTAATTTTTTTTCCACTGGTGTTTGTTTTATGGTTCTGTCATTTGTGCCGAATCATTAGACTCGACGGGTTAGGGTCCTCTGTTTGTCGAGCCGGGAGTTGAAAAACCGGGTCTCAGGTCGAGGGACTTCAGTTTCAGATGCTCACTTAAGAGCTGTTGGGACACATGATCAGATAAAGCTGGCTGGTTGTCCTTGTTCCAACCATACCCTGGTTGGATCGAACCGTTGTTGTCCCAAAATATATGAGGAGGCGTCCTCGGACTACTCCGAGGCCAATCTTGCTGTCTAGGCTCCTGAAAAAAACTGTTGCTGTAGAAGTTTCCACCACTTCCCGGGCTTCTGCTTGATCCTATGCCTTCTTGCAACAAGTTGATAGTAGTTTGTCTTTGCTGATGGAACGGGATGGCTCCACCGCAACCGGTTAAAGGTGTTGATGAACCGGAGAGAGCATGTGGACTAGATATTGGGGAA